ATTTCTAAGTCGAAGAGCCGGTGTTGTCCTCAGACACCTCCAAGGTAATGTGGTTGGTATGACTGTATGGACCACCATTACCTTTCTACTGAAGATTGATCTACTCACATTTGGATATTTTCAAACTGCTAGGTTGGCAGAAGCTGGGGCTAATAGCGGGAGCTCATGCCACTCCCCGGATTCGAACCTGTATCCTTTCAGTCTGCAAGTTCAGCAGCTCAGCGCTTTAACTCATTGCACCACTGGAGGCTCCTTTTATACTACTAAGTATAATGAAATCTCTCAGCTCTCCACATTAACTGAGGTCAGAGGTGCAGCACCACTACAAAAGTGAAAAAAACATGAATATTTTTTCTCCCTTTGAGAACACCTCTCTAGGAACTCCTAGATATTCCAGAGCACTACTATAGTCAATTGGTGATGGAGCTTGACCAAGAATCATACTGGAAGATGAAGAATGGCTAAAAAATATTGACTCTAAGAAACTCTAGGTCAGGGGTCCTCAAACTAAGGCCTGGGGGCTGGATACGGCCCTCCAAGGTCATTTACCCAGCCCTCACTCAGGGTCAACCTAAATCTGAAATGACTTGAAAGCACACAACAACAACAACAACAACAATTCTATCTCATCAGCCAAAAGCAGGCCCACACTTCCCATTGAAATATTAATAAGTTTATATTTGTTAAAATTGTTCTTCATTTAATTATTGTATTGTTTTTAAGTGTTTTGTGCACTACAACTAAGATATGTGCAGTGCGCATAGGAATTCATTCATGTTTTTTTCAAATTATAATCCGGCCCTCCAATAGTTTGAGGAACTGTGACCTGGCCCTCTGTTTAAAAAGTTTGTGGACCCCTGCTCTAGGTCATCCAACACGATTTGATGGTGGAAGCTGACCATAGAATCAAGCTGGAGGACCAAGAGATTCCTAGAGAGAATATATTAACTAAATCCCCAAAGGTGTAACTTGTAAATGTGGAGGTCTCTCTGTAGTTACAACAAAAATATTTAGTGAAATACAAAAAAAATCTAATAATGTTAAAAATAAGATGAAAATTATTTTACTCACACAGCAAAGTAGTACTAAATAGAATGAAAGAAATAACTGTTTTAAACAAATGTCTTGGAAATCTGACCTGTTGAATTACATGCACTAGAGCGTCTCTTATAAGTTCACTGTCTCTTCCTCCCCCTTTCAGTATCTTGTGTACATGCACTAATGGGAAAGCAGGCCACCATTTCTAATAGTCTCTAATATTTTTGTCCTCCCTCCGGCCTGGAATCTATCCATCTATGCTCCAAGCAAAATGGGTTGAATGTGGGAAGAAACTTTTCTGCAGTATTTAGGAATCTCCCATGTATGGAAACAGTATTTGTTTGGGCATACTGTCTATTAGACATGCACCTTCACTGTAGCTTCTGAACAAGATACATTCCTAAAATGATTTTCATACACGTATGTATAGACCCAGCAATCCATGGAGAGCATGTCCAGTAAAAACACTATGGTGAGAAGGTAAGGAATTTTCTTTATGCACTGAAAGGTGCCATGATGAAGAACCTGATTTAGATTTATTTATTTATTTAGTCATGTCAGGAGCGACTTGGGGCTCCCCTGATTATCTGATTTAGATAATCTAACTATAATGTAAAAGGTGCTGTCAACTTTGAAAAATAACCTAACATGATTAATATAATTTGTAATGATGTCTCAAATTAAGAAAGAGATTACATGGATATCAACAAACCAATCAAAGTTATGAATATAGTGTAGAACATGTCTAGTAATCATTTCATAAAGATTTAGTGACCATTCATAAAACAATACCCTGAAAAAAATAAAAATATAATTGAGCATTCCTTATCTGGAATTCCAAAATACCTCAAAATCCAGATAAGTGACTAAGAATGTCACAACTTTGTTTTCCAATAGTTCAATATACACAAATTTTGTTAAATGCACAAAACCATTCAAATATGGTATAAAATTACTTTATTTGAACATATGAAACATCCATGAATTTCATATTAGGAGTTGGGTTCCTGTTGCAAGATAGCTAACACGTATTCAAAATAATGATTAAAAAAAATCAAAATCCCAAACATTTCCAATAAGGGATAATCAGTCTGTGTGTGTGTGTGTCTGTCTATCTATCTATTGATACACACACACATCCATCCATCCTATTTCCTATTTTCCCCCTTGCTCACTCCAATATTCTGAATAATAATATACAACAATCCTTCCAAGATTCAAGGACTCTGGCAAGTTTCCAAAGGAACAGAAGTACTGTGACACATATTTGTTTTGATGACTAAGCACACCTGACTGATGCTTTTTTAAACCCACTTTTCGATGATACTGCTGAAGACTATCACCAACCTATGAAACAAACTGCCAATATTCTATTAAAGGGTCTCAGACCATAAGTATCCTGGTATGAAAAATGTATATGTGTGTTAACACATCAATGCACAGTAAAGGTAGTATTCCAAGCTAGCACAGTCACATAGCCATTGGATTAAAGAAAAATAAATGTTTGAAGACAACTGTGGTTGTTAAAAGTCATTTTAAGGGAAGGAATGAAATGATAGAAGTCGCATTTGAAGAAAGATGTAGGCTTGTAATCCTTCATTGTCACATTTCTTCCCATAGAATTATTTTTAACATCCATGCTTGATGAAGAAGCCCACAATCTTGGAGAAATCCTGTAATGTATTTTATGCCTTTTGATTGACCTAGTAAAGATATAACCATAGTGATATCTTTGCATTTTGCTATAATTTTTTATGTATGGAGTTGGTCAGATTCAATTCTTTGAAAACTGACATTGTATTGATATTTAACTGTGTAAAATTTAAATACGGATGTACAAGATTTATTTTATTTACCTTTTTAAAAATTATATATTATACTTTATAGTTTGTTTTTATGTCTAACTGAAAACGAAGTGGTTATGATAAGTGATGATAAATTCCCGCCATGTAAAATTATGTTAAAATCTTAAAAGTGAATGTGCATAATAAAAATTTGGAGTTGTGAAGTCATTATGCTGCAGGCATAGTCACACAACTGGGAACCAGAGATTCTATTGTAAATCATATAACCTACTAGTTGATCCACAGGTATTTTTTTTTTCTAACATTGAATAAACATTACCAAAAGGTCCATCAAATAAATTCCACTTTTTTTGCAAGCCGTATAATAATGTTATTAGAATTATGGAAGCTAATATGATCTAAAGGTCATAACATCCAAGCCTAGTCTTAAGGCAAGATTCTCAATACACTGGCTCTTTCAGATAAATCCATATGACAGTGTATGATAAATGGAGAGCCATTGCCAGGCCGGTCAGGTCACTAAACATGGCCAATGTCAAATTACTATTGTCAGCCATCAATTCACATAGACAACCATCCAAATGGACAATTTTCTCCTCAAAATGGGTTTTCCATGACCTTTCCAATTATTGGTTGACAGTATACATTATGGTTTGACTTATTCATGTTTCCAAAATATATTTCCTGCTTTCCACTGTAAGTATTTGTGGGATTTACAGGTATTCCAGTATGAAATTAAGGTATGCTTCTGTCCCAAGTATAGTCAAATATGGGCTTTGTTATTATCCACAGCTTTAAGTATTCACAGGGAACAGATTCCCCACAGATAAAAGGATCAAATTGTACTAAATTAATATTAAGTCATGTAAACCAACTGATTCAAATTAGCTTTCTCCTTAAGAAATGGTAACTGAACACTTTTATCAGCTCAGGGTACCAAGCAAACTAGAGACAAAATAGAACACTTAAATAGTGTAGCACTTGTTTCCCACCAGGACCATGAGCTAAATTGTAAGGTATAGAGACCTTATATTTATATTCTATACCAGTAAGAATTAATACACAATTAAAGAAAATAAACACTGGAGCAGAGCAAAAACTAGCAAAATTAAAATTGCAGTTGCCCTAGTAAGTAGCAATAATAATATTGAACCTGCGACCTGTCGGTCTACAGTCCTGCCGGCACAAGGGTTTAACCCACTGCGCCACAGAGGGCTCCTATAATAATAATGATAATAATAATAGTAATAGCAATAACAGTAAGCTTTATTTATAACCTGCCTCCTCTGCCCGGAGCGACTCAGGGCGGCTTACAACTCAAATAATGAATACAATAAACTATATACAAATAAACAAACAATTTTAAAAGACACAGAAACCCTATAAAACAATATATAATGCTGTTTAACCACCCATTCCTATGATTACAGTGTCCAGATTAAAAACCATTAAAATCCTGTCCAATAGGGTGGACAAGATTTTAAGTACTTCTCTGTATAACCCAAGAATGACCCTTAAAATATGGAATTTAACAACTGTATGTGAACATTAAAATCTCAATTGATAGATTACCATATAAACCAATTACATCAGCACAAAACAAGTTAAAATTAAAAGCAGTTAATTATAGACTCTTAGAGCACTGATAAAATCACCTTCTGCAAGTAACAAAAAGCCAGAACTTCAGCGAAGTTATGACCAATGCCGGACTCATGCCTGGGCCCCTGACCCCGCTGGCCGTGGCCATGGCTGCAATGTCATAACTTTCTCATTATGACAAATGTGCTGGTGCATACTGCCACACTGTTCCCACTGGGCTCTGACCATCTGTGGGGGATGCTAATCTAATCTCTCTCTCTCTTGAAATACCATTATCAGAAACCCGGGTTTGATGCTGTAAAGCTCTCAGTTTTGATTCAAGACTAATTTTTTAACTTTCTAGTTCTTGTTTTTTTTTTTTACTTTGTAATTAACTTTGGATACATTTCACTGTTCTGGATGGTAGGAGAAACCAACTTGAAATTGTTAGGGAGGATGCCCCACCATACAACTTGTAAATCAAAGCCCAAATCTTCTATAAATGAGGTTTCTCTTGGCATGCAATAGCAGCTAGCGAATCCCCCCACAAATATTACTTTAGAAATGTATGTTCCATACCTTGTTTAGCAATGCTTGTTGTCCTGAGACCACTGGATTGCACTGTATTTGTTCTGTACAGTTTGGTTGTGTTTCGGATACACACTGGTACATTGACACAGCACCAGCATAACATGTCTGAGGTGTTACTATAACTTGCTGAGAGTTTATTCCACAAGTTTGACTTTCAGGGACTTGCTGCCAGCAACTGAGAAAATCCTCTAAGCCAGAAGAATTGGAATACGTTGATCGATCAAAACTTCCTACTGGAAAGTCTATCTGGGTAAAATCCGGAAGCTGTGAAAGCACGCCGGTGGGTGCCTTGTAGGGAATGAACTCTTGCCTACATGCGTAGGTTGCTGTGTTGACTTCAGATTTGTAAGGGAAGTCCTGAGTTATTTCTTGCATGCTGGAAAAGACATATGGCTGTGTCTGTTGCTGTGAAGGATTATGGGGGATGCTGCTGATAGTATTCCAGTTTGTGAACATCCCATTGACCTGCATGTACTTCATTTTCTGACACAGCTGTTGGTGATGTGGATGCTGTTCCACCACAGATGGTTTCTGCTGACGGTCCAGTTGCTGAGGCTCTATCTGCTGCTGCATTAAACAAGGGGAGTTCTGACCTATGGTCTGTGGCTGCTGTTGCTGGCAACCTGAGTACAACAGGTCAGGCTTACTTAAGGACTCCTGAACATAGGTCAAGATTTCATCAGTTATGTCAATGTCTTTAATGTCGTCCACACTTAAGAGTTCATTTTTGAAAAAGTCTTCATCCTGCTGAAAACTTTTTATATCATCAAAGTCAACACCTAACGTTTTCATGATGTTGTACAGTTCATTATTTTTGTTATCCTGAAAAAGGCCCACACCGTCTTCAGGAAGCATTAAATTATTTTCCTGAGGGCAATCAGTCTGTTCTTGTTTGAGGATGGTGTGATTCCTTATTGGCAAAATATTTTCCTGCCAATCACTGGCCATTACATTGCCCAATTCGTCCCTGGTGTTCAGAAAAATGTTCCTCTCAAAGGAGATTTTATTTGAAGCAGGTGGACAGAGATACACAGTTTCATCCTGCTGCAACATTGCACCCAGAAGTGAGTTGGGATCAACAGAGTCTTTGCGCAGTGCAGCCTTGGAAGCAGCTCCTTTTCCAATGCCACTTTTAACCTTTGCCTGAGAAGAATCCATTAAGCTGAGCTGGGGAAACGTCATTTCATATAACACAGCCTCACCTGTGGCGAACATGAAGGGCAGCTCCATGTTTCGCTTCCGTAAGTGCTCTGCGCCTTCTTCATCTCTGAATTTCAAAATACCAAAAGCAAACAGTTAACTGTGATAATTGCACTACATAAAAACAGTCAGGTTTTATTTCACTGCTGTTGTAGACTATGCCAAGTACCTGAACAGACCTGACAAGGAATCGAGAGGAAAAATTGTTAGGACTTTCAAGGTAACAGATTTCGTTGTCATGAAGCTATGTTGGAAGGTGGACAATCCTGCAGTGTAACTTCTGAAGCACACATTATTTATAGAATGGAAACATTACTAAAACATTAGAGTGCGGCAATCAGAAATCAAGTCCCTCTTCCACAGACAGACACATGGAACAAGTGAAAAATTATGCAGGACCCATAATCAAGACAAAAAGTCGTGTTCTGGAGGGGATGGAAAAAGGGAAGAGACACAAACTTGCTTAACACATTTTTTGGCTGTATATACTACTTCTCCTCCATTAAAGTACTATAACCATTACAACTATTAATTTGCTGTACCTTTATCATACTAGCTAATATTTACATATATGGAATCTGCAAAACTTGTTTGGTGGCTACTTACGTGAGAGGTCTTTGTGTTGCAATGATGTAATCTGGTCTCCCATTTTTGTAAACCAGGCGTGCATTAGCTTGAACCCAGGCCCAGCGGTTTTCCTTGGTAAGTAGTCTAAAAACAGTCATACCACTCTCTCCAGTCTTTATCACTAGAAAAATTAAATAGAAAGCTATGCTTAATTTTTTGCAGGTAATTTTGACATTCTAAGACTTAGGTTCATTCTAAGAGTGACAATTTATTTTTTTATTTATTTATTTACTTGTATACCGCTCTTCTCAGCCATCAGGCGACTCAGAGCGGTTAACAACCAGTATCAGCAACTGGTTTATGTGATACACACACACACACACACACACACACACACAAAAATGCACAAACTAATAAACTAATAAAGCGAATATTATTGTGCCTCCTAAAACTCTAAAAAAGCAAGTCAAACAAATTTCAGAATAACAGATGGAATTAGTTATCATATTAACAGAAGCATACCATTGCTAAAGCACCGAGATACAATTCCTTGAAACTCACAAAGTCAATAGTTGGTTCTCAAGTAGTTTGATTTTTTTATTTATATTTATGTGAACTAGATACTGGCTTTCTCCTAAAGGTTAAACTCAAGTTAATTGCAAGTTTAAAAAACTGATACGGGTGAAAACACAAAACGTTATGATGATAAAATATAATTAAACCAGTTACAATATTAGAATACAACTGATTTTTTTTTTAAAAAATTAAGAGCATGCCAATACACAAATATAGCACCCAATGATTTAAAGCTCTTTTCTCAGTGACCAGTCTACTGCCTAAATAAAAAAGCAAGCTTGTGGAAGGATAATAGCAAAAGGCCAGGTTATTTGCAATAATACAACTTAAGATAAAAATATTATGTCAATATTTTTCTTCTCTAATTTGTTAGTTGTTTCCAATGATGACATCAGGGTTTGGATAAAAAGTAGATAAAGTAGATCAAGGTCAGAGCATATTCTAAATTTAGATTTTGAAAAAAACCCCTCTCTTAAAGTAGCAAATCTGCCTGAGAAAACTGCTGAATTAGCAGCAAGGGAGGTTAAAAAAAGGAAGTGCAAAGAGAAAGATGTAACAGCAACATGGAGACTCAATCTAAAGGATTAATGTGTGAATATTAAAATACGCCTTCTGCTAACATAACTTCACATGTTTAATGTTTATGAATCTTTTGTTGTGAACCGGCCTGAATCCCTCTTCGGAGGTCGAGGAGACCGGGTTATAAAAGCTCTAAATAAATAAATAAATAATGGAAGAAGGACATGTCAGAGGAAAGGCCTTGTTTGATAGTGGGTTGATGAGCTTAAGATACACTTCAGAAATTATTTTGGTGCATATTTTTATGAAACAGCCTGAACAGAAGGTGGTTCTTACTTCGGACATGTTTCTCTGCACAATAGAGCATATCAGCTGCATGGATAAATTGATATCCAGTTCCTCTCATGCACAGTTCTGCTTCTGTGTAACCCAGCACAATTCGTCCTCTGTAAAGAGATATTAACATGTTTTTATGGCACATTTCCATAGCTCAAATCAGCACATAAAGAAAAAACCCCCACTCTAACCACATTCCCTCCAAAAGCAGAATTCATTAAAAAACTGGACAAGTAAAAATAACACTAGACAACTAACAGCAATAACATATGCAATACACCTCCATATGAAATGCTTTGCATCCTCACCAAAAAGATTTTAAAAAACGGATACATTACAATATAACATTTAGCACACAGGCCAGGCATGGGCAAACTTTGGTCCTCCGGGTCTCTTAGACTTCAACTCCCACAATTCCTAAGAGCTGGTAAGCTTGATGGGATTTCTGGGAGTTGAAGTCCAAAACACCTGGACGGCTGAAGTTTGCCCATGACCAAGACTATCTGAAATGGATGACTGGCGTTTTGTTTCCAGTGTGACAGGATACCATATTTGTGCCCACTGGATACAATTCCTTTTTTCCTAAGAACCCTCATGGGACCTGAAGCTGTGAGCTGACACCAGTCCATAGCTATTGCTTTAAAAGCATTGGAGGAATATGGTACAATATACAAATACTATTGACAGAAAAATAAAAAAAATATTCCCTATCCAAAACCACCTGGCTTCCAACAATAGCTTAAAATCCTTTCTCAGCTGATAGGTCTCTAAAATCAAAATCATTTTTAGAAAAGAAAAGAACAGATTATGAATGAAGCTATGACTAAATTCAGGAATAATTAACTGAGGACAGTGTACAGCAGGCATGGGCAAACTTCGGTCCTCCACATGTTTTGGACTTCAACTCCCACAATTCCTAATAGCCCTTCCTTAAGTGGCTGAAGGGGAAAAGGAAAGGTCCTGGGGCTGTTAGGAATTGTGAAAGTTGAAGTCCAAAACACCTGGAGGGCCAAAGTTTGCCCATGCCTGGTGTATAGGATAAGGAATGGGGGGATATGCAGTTATCTAGAAGTTACTGATCTATGATTCCCATGATCCCTCATAGTAGGTTAGATGTGGCTAGACTAATTATAGGCCTCAGTTTCCTCAATGCATAATATAGGATGAACTGATGTTTTAAAGCAATTGCTACCAGTATTACACATAACCTGTTTAATATGTTTAAGCTGCCCTATGCAATTTTGATTGAAGTGTACAGTTGGCTTTCCATATCCAGAGATTCTGTATCTACAAATTTGACCATCCATGGCTTAAAAACAAACAGAAATAAAAAAAAGCAAATCTTGATTTTGTCTTTTTGTATAAGGGACTTGAGCATCCATGGATGCTGGTATCCGAGGGGGGGGGGTGAGGTTGGGGGTTGTCCTGGAACCAAACCCCCAACAGATAACAAGAAATAACACCATGAAGAGAAAATATGATCATACATGGATCCAGCACTTACTTTGCATCACATCCTGTAGGTGTGAAGTCCAACTTGTGTTTAGTTCTGAAGATAAAGTTTTTGGTACGTATTTCAAGAATAGACGGAGGCTGCAGTGGAGTAGCCACAGCAAACAATGCAAGCTGAGGAGACAGAGTAGTTCCATCCTTCCCTTTTTTATTCTGTCCATGGAGAAACTTTAATCTCCCTTGGAAATTCATGGCCTTTTGAGGAAGAAAAACAGATGTAACCACATGCTGTATTTTTAATATACAGTACATACTGTTATATTTTTGCCTAAATAGAACTATAAACATGAGATAACTCTATATATTTTTAATTTCACTCATAAATTTTAATTTCTTCAGCTACTGATGTTAGTATCAAAAATGTTGAGGACTACTGAATTTTAGATTCTTATTCATAAAAAATGAGGTGGAAAGACACTGTTATGCGCTATATGAACACTCCACAAATGTAGATGATATCCTCAAATATAACTGATGAAAGAGGTAGCTTTTCCTATTTTTGTTTGCTACACAGCATTTTCTTAAATACAGATAAAAACACATGAAATAAATTGCTTACCCTACTAACACAAGAGACGTTACTAGCAGTGTTCTTTGCTGCCAACATGTGCAGTATTTTACAACTGACTATACTCAATCCGTTGTTTTACAAAGAGCACAATACACTGATAAAAATTAGGTAGTGTGGTTTTGTGTAAACCCTGAGTATTCAATCCACTAAAAACTGCCATGACTTTTCCATGTTCTTGTGGAATTATACACTGGCCAGACCTGGACTGGAGTCAATATAATGAAATCGATTCATATTCAAAAGTGAAACAGCTAGTTTCATTTTTTAAAGGTTTAGTATATCTCTGATTCCAGTTGTATAGGTATAGTATATACATCTTTTTTCCCGAAGACTTTGTGTGTGTTGCCTTTTGAGGGAGACGGGGAATAGAACCAGAAAACAAGAAATTCAAATATGTGGTGTCCCCGAAATTTATTAACAGTAAATGTTTCCTAAACATCACCTAGTGCCTTTTTTTAGACATTTACACAAATCTGTTGTGCAGTCTTTACAGTAGACACTACAGAAGATGCATCAGCTGTACTTCATAAAAAGGTAAATTGACCTGTTTAGCAAGACTTGTAAATGCTGATTTGCTATCAGTAGATGTTTGATTTTTATACTTGTTTTATATACCTATATATCCAGAGTCATGTAAACATTTCTCGACCTGAAACACATTGTGAGTGGAAAAGTTTAAGAAGCCCTGATGTACAGCACTGCTGAAATGGGCAAGAGTAGTTAATGTTGCTCTCTTTTTAATTTTAGTGCCTCCTTGGTAATGTAAAAAAACACTTGGAATTAAGACCATCAAGCACACTTACTGTATTAAAAATTAAACACCATCTGGAAAGGTATTTGGTCAAACGCAGCAAGTTTCTTGGTATTTTAGCATCATAAATTGAGTAATAATATATAATTACACAGAGTCCCAAACTCAAAAGGAAAAGAAATATATTAGCAAGCTATTATTTGCCATAATGGGATTAAAAAGCTTTCAACTTATATGCACTTCATCATTTTTCCATCCTTCCTTTACAGGGAATAAAGTTTAAAACTTCTGGTTGCAATCCGCAAAAAAACTTGTTTTCTTTTCTGTTTGTCCAATCATTTGTAATAAATAAAGATGAACTAATATTTTCAGATCCAGATCTGAAAATATCTGGATCTGAAAATCCAGATCCAGGGGAGACGAGGATAGTTGATGCATATATCTACGGCTAAGTTACATTGGTTTTAAGTTGATAAATTCCTATATATTTGTATTCTATTTTAATAGGACCAGACGTATGTTGTATGTTGTGTTTGCACTGTCTGTTTTTTATAAGGCCAACTGGCTAATCAATAAAAATTGTTGTTGTTGTTGTTATAAATCAGTCACAATTTGAACAAATTGTATTTTTCTGTCTTCAGCCATGGCAGTTTAATCCAAATTTCACGTGGATGCTTTACATTATTCTCCCTTCAATCTGCAGAAAGAGGTAAGGCAGCTGGGAAAAACAATGCAAACCCAAGATCTTAGACAATATTATTTATTATGGGAATGAAGACGTTCCTATAAGTCTGAAATTGATCCTTATGTGATTGTGTACTTACTAAGAACCCAGATGAATTATCCAGCAAACAACGTAATCTACAGATGAAGTTTCGTTCCATAAATGAAGAATTCTCCGGAGGTAGCTGTTCTGGATTATAGTACGTTGTGGTCTGTGAAAAGCCATTATCTCCTACAATAAAATATAATAACTCCTTTAAGAGGACTATCTACCATTACTACATCAGCAATTACTTTCATAAACAAGGTTTCAAATCCTAAACAAGACATATATACTGTTTATATGAAAAACCTTTATTTGTCAAAGAAATTCAACAGCTTTAATGATTTTAATATGAAAGATTTTTCTTTTACTCTGTGATTTTTACCAACTGCAGAAAATCACACTATATATAAAATGCTGGGAATATGAATGCAGATATGCCAAAGCATCTACACACATGTTCCTGAGATTTAATATGGGATGTGACCAATTTGTTTTTGGTGGCATCTGTAGGAGATTCTAGAACCCAAACTCCACAAATCCAGAGAGCCCGTTGTATTATGTTTTTGTGTGAAAATGTATTTCCTAAAGTTTTCCAAACATAGCAGCTAAATTGTCATTATCTTGCAATAGGCATATACATTCTTCCAAAGGAGGGATAAGTAAAAATTGGAGTTCATTTATGAAATAGTCTGCTGCTCGAAAGAGTACAACTATCACTTCAACATGCTATTTTCGAGAGGTTAAACTGCAGCAAAACACCTGTTTTCTATGTCTACTGTGATATTATCATAATTAATTTAATGGCTCTACATAAGTGATTTGAAGTGCCATGCTATTTTATGTATTCTGCAAAGCATGGGCATTCCCAGTTAATCTATAAACTTTGGAGCAGGGTCACCATTACCCTTTCATAGACAGTATTTTAATTCTTAACACAACAATGTAGAAAAATAAACCCACAAAAGTTTGTATCTGCCTAGCTAATATAGCTCCAGAATGTGAATATATTCTGGAATTGATTTAACACCCTTCACCTTTCCTGCCCAATGGATTGCCCATATACTTTTGGAAAGATCTTATGGAAAAGAAATATGGAAACACACTGCTATTTAAAAAAATCATGTTCCCTTCTCAGCACTCTATAAGAGGCTACAGTTTCCAAATTCTCAATAAAAAACTACAGCAAGTAACTCAAATTAACTGTGTACAACTCCCTTGATTCCATAGCATTGAGCCTTGGCAGTTATATTAGTATCAAACTGCATTACCTCAAAAGTGCAGATGCACCCCCAATAAGTCTTTATCTCCTTAGATTCTGTAATATAGATGTAGTCATATGATGTACACTGCACACTGCATGTCAGCTGCATGAAAAGTAGCCCTTGCTAGGTCATGGCTACTTTGCACAAAGAGATTAGTAAGACTATGAGTACTTAACTCCAATGTGAGTTTTCTCCAGGATACCTGAAACTTATCAAGTGCTTAAATATAGAGCTTATCAAGACATATATGCCACTACTTGATGATAGCAAATTCTCACCTGGCATTATTTGTCCAGAATCTGAAGACTGTACAGGATTTAGAGCCCAATGAAGTTGTCGCTGAAATTCTGGTCTGTCTTCTGTGTGTATTAATTCAAACACACTCTGGTGTATAATGTCAGACTAAATCCAAGAAACAGTGAAAAATAGTAATAAAATGCCTACTAATATTTGGAAGCTTTCTAATCTTGATTTCTAAGCTTGATTTTAAAAATACATATTAACATTCATCCTGGTATATTTAAGACTAAGATTTATAATACAAAATTTATTGCCAGATTTACAATATGGGAGATATAATGTGACTATAAGGAAAAAAATTGTTTAAATATCATGGCTGGAATCCTGCTGGGAATTTAGGTAATAAACCTACTCACAAATGTGCTGTACAAAATAGTGTTGTTGTTCCTAGAAGAGGAGTATTGTTGTAGTTGGGGGATCACTGTAAACATTGAGCAAGCAGCTTAAACTTTAATGCACAACAGTACAATACTTTGACGGACAGGCTGCCTTTTCTTCAATGACAGTGCAAGGAGAAAAGCAACAAACCTCTACAGAACCATGGTGCACTGATCCAGAATGAAAGGTAATGGAAAGTCATGGGCACCCAACTGGAAAAAGTCCCCATATTTTATGGTACACTGTGGTGTATTTCACAATGTAAGACCTTGCATCATGCCACATTATGTGGTGGGGGGCTCCACTGCACAATGTGACATCTTGTGTGATCTCTTGCTACACACAGTCACAGTTCTCTAAAATGAAGGTATACCAGTCAACTACATAACTCAATCATAATAAAATCACACCTTGTAGCTGGTGATGCAAGTTCTCAGCCAATTTTATGGCAGGTTAACCCTTTGTAGATTTTCCTTAAAACTATGGTTCCAATGGGAGTATCTCCCTTTATCCTAAGAAGATGTGAAACATATTAGACCCAGAAGAGAACTGAAACTGGTTTGCATACTTTCAGTCAAGTTAGAATATGATCCACTGAGCCAATGTCAGAGTTTTTATCCATTAAACAATACAGATGATGTTTTGTAATCTGCATAGTCAAACTAGTTTTATTTTTATCCTTCCATGAGGCATTACTCTTGGAACCTCTATGGAAGAGGATTTGACTTCTATGCTTCCTTCAACCTCAAGTGATGAAATAACACTGCTCGGAAACTCAGCCAAAGATCTCAGAAGTTTGGCGATTCAGACAGGTGAGGCAATTTTAAAGACAGTCCCACCTATTCTATGTACAAATTAGATAACAGAAAAGATAAGAACAAAGTATGGGACAAAATAATTATTAAAATAAACTAACATCCTGATAAGTGATCTCACAGCTTTTCTTTAAAAATCTGCATCATTCTTTCTTTCCAGAACAGATTTGCCACTTCTATGGTCCAGAGAAATGGTATTTTCTAGTACTTTATCAGTAAAAGCTGTTCTTCAGAAGCAGAGTCATAGAATCAAAGAGTTGGAAGAGATCTTGTGAGCCATCTAATCCAACCCCCTACCAAGAAGCAGGCAAATTGCATTCAAAGCACCCCTGACAGATGGCCATCCAGCCTCTGCTTAAAAGCCTAATCAAAAGAATCAAATTAATGATTTTTTGAAAAATGTATGTTTTAAAAAAGAAAGGCATTCTCTTACCTGCTGAAAACCCAAATAATCCTGGATTGTAGAAGACACATAAAATATGAGTGCATCAGATGTGACCACCAACACAAACCCATTCAATGCCTGGCGAGGGGAACAGCAATAAAACATCACTAATTAATGTTTCAGAAATGATTTTAAAGTAACATAAACACTCAGAAAAGTTAACCCATCCACTCTCAAAAATATATTGGAAAATGAGTATTGTAAACATGCTTAAAATATTATCTGACACAATTTATTTTGCCAAGGTTATCTGTACATCTGTACAATAGTCTTACACAAGAACCATCTCACATAGATATTATAGTGTTTATCACATTTTTTTGGGAGAACCTGCTACGGTGACTATTTTTTTTAAAAAAAAATATGGCATTTGTTTCACCAGTATGCCAAGGCAAAATGAACAAGAACCATCTCACATAGATATTATAGTGCATATCACATTTTTCAGGAAAACCTGCTACATTGACTATTTTTTAATATATATATATATAAGGCATTATTTCACCAGTGCCACTGAGGCAAAATGAACATATTTATAAACACATAAATAAATAGAAACAATAAATTACATACCACAACTTCCATAAAGTTCTTAAAAATTCACAACAGCTAGGTTAGCAACTAACCCTGATTTTAAGAACCGTCCCTATGAAACAATAGAGTTTTAGCTGCCTAGAGTTTTAGCTGAAAATCATAAGGAATGGAGCTATTCTGGCCATCTGTCATGTTTTGGCTGCCTTAATATTTAGAGTTTTGAAAATATATGATATATTCTATGATTCTAAGTACTAGATGGAAATTTTATGCTTGAACTGCTATGCTACGTACTTCCCATTCTATAACGTTTTTCATCGTAACTATGACTCATACCTGTAGTAAAAGTTCTCCTTCCAGCAGATGCATATTTTCCTTGGGTTTTGTAACCCTGCTATTGTCCTGGATGCCATTTCTGTCAGACTTTGCAGAACTGGACGATTTTAGTGCAACTGTAGAAACAAATGCAATAAAGCTTCAGTATTTCTATGAACAAATTCACCTTTGTTTGAAACAGGCATTTCATGTTAATGGATGGCTGGACAAAATAATCTATGTACAGAAAGTCTGTAAAATTAGAAACCATATCTGCAGTTCTCCTAACTTATGCCTAAAGAAAACTGTTCTATCCAGGAATATGTTAAGTCTTCTGGGTAATTCTATGACCTCCTTTCCCCAGAAGTTAACACACAGTTACCCTGGAAGTTCCCAGAGAAGACGCCTCTCTAGGAATCTCTAGGTCTTCTAGTGCAACTCCATGGTATGCTGGAACTGAAAGTTGGGTATTATAATGGTATTCGGTCATTTCTGTAATTTCAGGTAACTGCTGTCAGGCCAGGAAAATACAGATATGGGATCCTACTCTAATTTAGAAGCGCTTCCCTAGAGAAGAACAGTTTTTCCCAAATTAATTGAATAAAAGTATCAGGGAGACATAATCCAGAGCAATAATAATGCCAGGACCAAACTGTTTCACACTAAATATATTTATGCTACTGTTTTTATTTTTATTGCTGAAGCTTCTTATGTATCTCTTATGTTTCTACTATTGTATATACAATCCATAATGCATATTGACAGTGAACAAGAAAATGAAGTGGAAGATTATCCATTTTAAGCTCTCATAACCTGAAGATACATTAAAACTAGTTCCATATAACAAACATTTAAATTCATTTCTGCTTGTATAAATCCCTCAATGAATATGAATGAAAACAATTAAGATGCTGATTAAGCACACTGATCAGAATCCTAGAAAACACTGACACGTGGTTGGTGTGGGAGAAAAAAAAGCAGCTTATATGAAACTAAGGATCTATATGGGTTCCTCGAACTCATAATATGGTACTCGGCCCTGTTACATTATTTAAGGATACAATGCTATCATTCTCAATGATGACTAGTATTTCGAGTAAGCACGGTTATGCATGGTTAGTACTTAGATGGGAGTTCACTATGGCAGGCACTGTAGGTAATGATAAACCCCTCTAAGTATCCCTTGCCCAATGGAGTTAATGGTGACTCAATCAGTCAACAAGCAACTTGAAGGCACACGCGCGCACACCTGTTTTCTGTCTCACTTTGATGACCTCTTTAGTAAAGTAGAAATTGTAACCATCTTTTCCACTCTCTCCTTCCCACCGTAGTTCATCAATTCAATTCACAAAATGTACTCCATAGTGCTCTAATATACTATGATTTGACACAAGTGCTTTAGCTTGTCAGTGGAAATCAGAAGAAACTGGGTACCCTTCTGACCTTATAGTCAATTCATGCCTAGATTTCCCAGGCTCCAACAGTATGATTGATTGACACACACACACACACACACACACACACACACTATTGTTATATCACTGAAATATATATTCACAAGCATATTTTGCAATACATTTGTTGGCTTGAAAAGCGCAAGCGTTTTCTGCGCATATTTAATTTCTTTCAAAAAGTAAAACTCAAGCGCATTAAAGTCAATCTGCCAGTTCAAGTCCAAATATTTTAGACAGCTTACAGGCTTACTAAATTCTGCCTCACGCTAACAGAACAGCACCACTGTTAGCAAGAAACAATGGCAGTCTACTTCAGACAAAGAAATCTTTTAAATCTACTGCACAGAGTTGCCATGAACTTTTAAACTAGGCAGGTTTTTACAAGCATTTTACCAATCTCTTATCTCCAGTTATTGCTCATTAATTAGTAAATGCCACTGTATACTATCATAACTTAAGATGTGTCTCCCTTCATTAGCAAATCTGTGGTGGGGGAAGACATGCACAATAAGCCAAAGTAAATGGGGGGGGGGTGGGCACAAGAGTAGGTAAATTATAGGCAAGTAAAAGTTAAGGTTATCATATCTCTACTGAACATGCAAAAATGCCAGATTTTTTTTTCAAATTATAAATTCCTGTTGGATCATTCTGATATGCACTCCCATGTACATTCTGAGTGGACCTATATAACTATTAACAATGTAATCTTGGCTGCATCTTACTGCTTGCTGCTTCTTGGAACTCAACACATCAGATTTACTAAGTAGATTTACAAGCTGCAGTCTTTAGAGATGGCTTTATTTCACAGCTGTTATCTAACTTTTATGCAAATTTCTGGCTGGAATAAGGCCAATTATCACAACTGACTGCCAATGACTAAACAATTTATGATACATCTATTAAAATGAATTCCTCTTTAAATAATACAAATTCTATTATTAGTCCATCTTTATACGGCCCTTGTGGGGAAAAAAACCTCAGTCCACTGTAGCTTTATCATCCTAGTTATATAAACAGATATAGGTGGGAGTATTTTAAAAGAAGTCAGAATAAAAAAAATCTAATAGAAGATGAACAAATACAGTGGACCACAGGTTCTGTATCTTCAGACTCAACCAACCATGACTCAAAAATATTTGGGAGAAAAAAAATTGAAAAGCAAAGTTTGATTTTGCTATGCTGTTGTGTAGGCACACCCTGCTGTAGCCTCCCACCATTTAACAGATCCCCAGGCTCTGTCTAGCACTTGTTTGAGTTGTTTGCCATTTTTACATCAGGGGTGCCATTTTACTACACCACTGCATATAATGGGATTGAAGCATCCACAGAGATTGACATCCATGGTAGGTCCTGGAATCAAATCCCAGTGTATACAGAGGCAGCTTCCTGTATAATTAATTTTAAATGCAAATCCAATACTAACTAAAGCAGTTGTTTATAATAAGCCAGCAACTGCCGAAAGAAAAAATAGGAGAGAATGAAAATAAACATAATTGTGAAATGTTTATTAATATTCTGTTACATGAATGAAACAGGCACACAAAATCATACAATGGATTCTATTAACATGCTCATTTTATATTGGTATAGTAAAGGTCCATGAAGCATATAAACCCTTAGGATGAAGTATGCTCATGTGCGCCACAAAAATGCTTCCTCTTTCAGAAAGTGACCAGAGGAAGACATCATCCCTACAACAAGGGACACAAAGGAAATTAAACATTATAGTGAGTCTGACATAAATGATTAATGCCATCATGCTGGAAGATATAGCAGTATGTTTAAATGAAAACTTGACCTGGCTTGGGCTGCAAAGCACACTAAATTAGTAGAGAAGAACGAGACCATGGACCAGAGAAGTAGCAACTAGGGGTAAACTTTCTTCCATGGTTTTTATTTTAAAGTCTGGCCTTTTACATCTGGAGCAAGACATAGTCTTTATCTCTATCAGAGAAACAAATACACTGGCTGTTCAGATCTGTTTGTTATTGCTCAAATGTACTGTAAAGTACCTTGGGGATATTTTGACTGAAAAATACTAGTTTCTTAAACTAGATAAGCAAGAATGTGGTAAGTTCATGAGGAAGAAATCAATTTCACCAAAGCCCTCCTTTGCAATGAAAAGGTAATTTCAGCATATATCAGCTTCACAAAGGGCAGCACATAGTAAACAAGTACAATCATAAGGCATGATACAGCAGATGTTGGACTGGCTCCTACTTAATCCTGTCTCAGAGGACATACTACCCTCCTAAGATAAAGAAAAAAGTTGGCACTATAACAAGGAAGCATAAAATTGCTTTTTGTTCCTGGTAAATTCCAACACGTACACATACATAGTGATTTTGTAAAGGCAGGAGAGAGAAAGTAAGTTCTAATGAGAAAATTACAAAAGCACTGGCCTAGTCTAAAGATGGAAGATGTTCAGTAATACAGTTAAGAACCAAAAGAAGCTAATGATAATGACATTGCTGTACTATTGCAAGGAGCTACACAGCTTGACACCAACAAAATAAATGTGCAACACATTGTGTGCTGGTGAAGTGAATTAAGAAAAATGTATATTTAAAGTGAAGTTAATTACTAAGCACTTTCATATGATGTTTATCTTTAAGAAAGCAGAGAAGCAAATTATTCAGTTGAAATTCAGATTATCCAAGCTCAGAACTGTCCTGGATTCACCCAGTTAATGTTACACCTATTACTAAGATGCTGTCCTGAAACTACATTGCTCTCCATGCCCCAAATTTGTACCAACACAGCTTTTAGCAGTTTACTTGCCAGTAAGAACAGTAAGCAAAAAAAAAGGATCACTCTCTCCCTTGCTTAGGCTGGCTTCTGTCTCAACCATTGCGGCTGCTAGTGCCGCCACCACAAAACTATTTTTATTAGGACTACAGAATGAACAGATAAAATGAAGAAACACAAAAATATTACAATACATGATAATTGGAGAAAGAATGTTGTATGCTCAAAACTGGTGGGGGGGGGGGCAGGAATACAAACAACAGATGATTGAGTCTTAAAGGTTTTTAGATTATCCAAAAATGGACCAACTTGCAATGATGATGAGAGAGACAAGTAAACAACTTCAGGCAGGGCTGGCAACAATTTAAAAATTCTATATATAAAAAAGAAAAAGGCACTGGATTATGGAGTGTTTTGAATAAGTTGACAGCAGGATAAAATTTCATCCGAAATGTATCTAGATACAACAGATAGCTACAGTGCATGAGTTAAGAGTTGATATCCTCAAAGAAATACATCATCTATGTTTAGAGTAGAACTAGAACGAACGGGAAGTCTGCATAGAAGATCAAGGGGAAGGGAAGGAAAGCAATAGTAAGACAACATTGCATTTTATTTTGAACAAAAATGTATCATATATATTCGAGTATAAGCCAACTCGAATATAGGCCGAGGGGAACATTCTTATATATAAATAATGTATACATATAGATACAGATATACAGGTACTTGGAAATATCTAGATATCTCTATGTATATAGGATTTGCAAAGACCTGCAAACATATGAGGGGAAAATTCACATATAAAATTAATGTAGTTAGTTAGTTAGTTAGTTAGTTAGTTAGATAGATAGATAGATAGATAGATAGATACAGATATATAGGTACATAGGGATTGCAAAGGTTTGTGGGGAAAATGCCTATATATCTGTAGG